CTGAGTTTTACATGTAAACTTTCTAAAGGATGAGTTTCTGATTGTTCATCAGAGGAAGTACTCTGCTGCTCGAAGTAATCTGATTACTGACAGGGGATACAGTTTAGATTCATCAGTGATATTACACAAATTGTTTTCAGTGTTTACAGATTCAGTTATTAAACACTCAGTTAAATATGAAACAGCTTTAGTTTGATGTTTAAATTCAGTTTAATTAAACTCCTGATGAAGGACTCAGATAAAAGTAAAGCTGCTGAAAGGAGCAGAAGAAACACGACAGAAGACGGAAGATTAAAGTGAAACCCCTTCAGTCTGCTGCTTGTCCTCGACTGATGGCTGAGCTGGATTAGGTCTCAACACATGCAGATGAAAGATGATGAGTAGAAGTGATCTGGTCGCTCCCAATGACCATGAACTGTTTGTTGAATTACAGATAAGTCAAAATAAAATCATCCATCCATCTATCTTCTCCCGCTTATCCGGAGTCGGGTCGCGGAGGCAGCAGCCTTAGCAGAGCCGCCCAGACTTCCCGATCCGCGCACACCTCCTCCAGCTCTTCTGGGGGGACCCCTAGGCGTTCCCAGGCCAGTCGAGAGATATAGTCTCTCCAGCGTGTCCTGGGTCTTCCCCGAGGCCTCCTCCTGGTGGGACGCGCCCGGAACACCTCCTCAGGGAGGCGTCCAGGAGGCATCCGGAAAAGATGCCCGAGCCACCTCAGCTGGCTCCTTTCGATGTGGAGGAGCAGCAGCTCTACTCCGAGCTCCTCCCGGTGACTGAGCTCCTCACCCTATCTCTAAGGGAGCGCCCAGCCACCCTGCGGAGGAAACTCATTTCGGCCGCTTGTATCTGTGATCTTGTTCTTTCGGTCATTACCCAGATCTCATGACCATAGGTGAAGGTTGGGACGTAGATTGAGCGGTAAATCGAGAGCTTTGCTGCCTTGCTCAGCTCCCTCTTCACCACGACGGTCCGGTACAGCGACCGCAACACTGCAGACGCTGCACCGATCCGTCTGTTAATCTCACGCTCCATCCGCCCCTCACTCGTGAACAAGACCCCGAGATACTTGAACTCCTCCACTTGAGGCAAGGAGTCTCCACCGACCCGGAGAGGGCAAACCACCTTTTTCCGGTCGAGAACCATGGCCTCGGACTTGGAGGTGCTGATCCTCATCCCGCTCGCACCACACTCGGCTGCAAACCGCCCCAGTGCACGCTGGAGGTCCTGATTTGATGAAGCCAACAGAACAACATCATCTACAAACAGCAGAGATGAAATTCTGTGGTTCCCAAACCGAACCTCTTCTTCCCCCTGGCTGCGCCGAGAAATTCTGTCCATAAAAATAATGAACAGAACCGGTGACAAAGGGCAGCCCTGGCGGAGGCCAACGCGCACTGGGAACAGGTCTGACTTACAACCGGCGATGCGAACCATACTCTTGCTGCGGTCGTAAAGGGAAATGGGCAGCCCTTCACAGAGGGCCCCGGACCCCATACTCATGAAGCACCCCCCACAGGATGCCACGAGGAACACGGTCGAATGCCTTCTCCAGATCCACAAAACACATGTGGACTGGTTGGGCGAACTCCCATGAACCCTCGAGCACCCGATGGAGGGTATAGAGCTGGTCCAGTGTGCCGCGACCAGGACGAAAACCAGATTGCTCCTCCTGAATCCAAGGTTCGACCATCGGCCGTATCCTCCTCTCCAGTACCCTGGAATAGACCTTACCGGGGAGGCTGAGGAGTGTGATCCCTCTGTAGTTGGAATACACACTCCGGTCCCCCTTCTTAAACACAGGGACCACCACCCCGGTCTGCCAATCCAGAGGCACTGTCCCCGACCGCCACGCGATGCTGCAGAGACGTGTCAACCAGGACAGTCCCACAACATCCAGAGTCTTGAGGTATTCAGGGCGGATCTCATCCACCCCCGGAGCTCTGCCACTGAGGAGCTTTCTATCCACCTCGGTGACTTCAGCCCGGGTGATGGGTGAGTCTGCCTCCGAGTCCACAGTCTCTGCTTCCTCTTCAGAAGATGTGACGGCGGGATTGAGGAGACCCTTGAAGTATTCCTTCCACCGCCCGACAACCTCCCCAGTCGAGGTCAAGAGGTCCCCACCCGCACCAGAGACAGTGCTGGTGGAGAACTGCTTTCCCCTCCTGAGGCGCTGGACGATTTGCCAGAATTTCTTAAATAAATAAATAAAATAATAAAAAGCTTTGAATTAAAGAGTCTTTGAGAAGGCCTGGTTCCTTGATGCAGCCCCGTGGTCAACAAACTTCTTCAGCCACCCCATTGCTGTGGCAGCTGGTTCATAAGGCTTCCCCCGTGGGCTCCACCCTCAGCCTCCTCCGTCAGGTGGAGGTAACACACCTATGGCCGTCCATTCTCCCACAGGCACACATGCTCTCTCTCACACTCACATCCACGTACTAATAACAAGAAAGAACAGATCAACAGAAAGCTCAGTTTGGCTCCGACACCTTTATTGTGAAATCCAGTGTTGTCTTTTCACAATAAAACGTCTTCTGAGAGGCTCATCAGGAAGCTGCAGGATTCACCGTCGCTGTTGTGTTTCTGAAGAGACTCATGCAGAAGTCTCTGTTCAACAACAAAGACTGAACACTGAAACATGTCTCTGGTTCCAGGAGCTGAGATTCATCCACATACCTGAACAGGTGTTCCTGCTCCTCAGGCTGCTTCAGCGGCTGCAGGTTCGCTTCTGTCAGAAAAACACGATTCAGCTGAAATATACAGAATTTGTAGGAATAATTCTGCATTCTGTGTTTGTTTCTGCTACATTCAAGTCTTCATGATTGTACAGATGAATGAACATTAACTGTCTGATGCTGGACCAGCTTGGTGTTGCTCACATGTCCAGCTGTCCACTCACCGTCCGTCCATGTTCCGCACTGACAATAAAAACTTGTTGCTTCTGTTAAACTCATCGGACCGGTGTCGTTCTCTGATTGGTTCTGTTGGACTCGTGTCTGTTTCTGATTGATCTCAAATCACTGAGCTGAAACTCAAACCAGGAAACGGTGAACGAGATGAAGAACACCTGGATTCTGCATTCTATGGATTTATTGTTCTGCACGTTAATATTTTGATTTTTGATAGTTTGCTACATTAATAAAACCTTTCATTGTGTTTGTTTTGTGTTTATAGGTTTGTGTGTCAGTACCACAGCTTGTTCACTGCTGTGAGTTCACATCCAGGCATTTATACCCTGATGGAGCAACGTCCCACTTTCAGCAGGTTTCTGTGGGAACATCCAGGTCTTCACAGATCTGAACATTAAACCAGACGGTGGCAAAATGTTAAATAAATGAAATCAGTCCTCAGACTTTCGATGAAAGCGACTCTGATGTGGAACAACGATCAGAAGTTAAATAATGATGATGATGGTGGCGGTCTGGGTCGGTGTGGTTCTGCTGCCTCCTGCTGACTGAAAACACAAACTACAGCCACAAACCTTCACCATGATGAGAGGTATCACTGTGTTTACACCTTTGTGTGAGGAGTAAATCTGTGCAAGTCAAGGGTTTGAAGCGAACCCATATTAAAGCAGAAACCTGCAGCGACGTGGTTCCGTGCGTCGGACTGGTGCAGATGGTCTTACTGGGAATGTTCCGGTTTCTACATCCTGGAGCAGAAACACTGAAACCTCCGGATTTTGCTCTTTTTAATTCTATAAACTTTAAATGAGTTGAACCGAATCCCATCAGGAGCTGCTTCTCATCAGCGGATCCGGATCAGCTGCTTCTGTCTGATCCGGATCGGCGCCTTCTGTCTGTCGGATCCAACATGGCGGCCTCCGCGGCTTCGCGTGAGCTGTTCACGGAGGGAGTCCGAGCGGTTCTCCACACCTGGCCGGTTCTACAGGTGAGTCCTGGACCGGTCCACCTTAGACGCACAGAATCACGGCGGTCACACTGGCTGAAGCTAACAGGCTAATGCTAGCAGAATGGCGCTAACAGGCTGCAGCTAACAGGCTAATGCTAACAGGCTGCAGCTAACAGTTACTTTGTTCTCTTTAGTTTATTATCAGCTGATCAGAATCAATCTGAGGTTCTGGTCCAGAGAACCAGATCAAGACTTTAAACTGGAACCGATGGTTCTCAGTAGAACCTGGACCTCGTCGTCTGGAACAGATTAGACGTTCTGCTGAAATCTTGGACTTCAGGATGTTCTGATCCGATCTCAGGATCAGGCTGATCGAGACATTTTAGAACCGATCGGTTCCGAACCTGAGTCGATCCTCAGTTTACTACAGAACCTGGAACCAGTCCAACCTGTATAACCTGCTGACAGAACCACCTGTCTGGTACCACAGATGTCCCTTCAGATCAGACGCTGCTGTTTGTACAGAACCTGGAGGTTCTGTTGAGGTTCTGACCTGTAAGTTGAGACTGAGTCACCACGAGACAAGTTGTTGAATTCAGTGACTGAATGTCTTACTTACAGAACCGTGTTCTGGTTCTGATTCTCCTGCAGCACTGAACAGAACCACATCAGAATGAGTCTGAGACAGATTCTGGACTTTGTGTTTATTATCAGGAGACGTGTTCAGACTGAGACTGCAGGTACTGAATATGAGATGAAGCGGATCAGAACATCACTGGTTCTGAATTTATTGGGTTTCTAACGTTGGGAACATGTTGTTTGTATGTTCTGATTGGATCTGAACAGAAATAAATCAGCTTCAAACAACAAACCTGTTGGAGACCCGAGAACTTTACAGAACCGTCTCTGAACAGAACAGAACCTCCATGGCTGCAGCAGATTTTAATTCTGAAGCAAAATAAGACAAACATTTGTGAAGTTTCAGGAAAAAAAAGCAGAACTGAAAAGTTTAAAGAGTCAGAACCTCCTCAGAACATCTGGTTCTGGTTCTGCAGCACCTCTGTCTACTGACCAGAGTTCTACCTTCAGACTGTGAATGTTCCAGAGGTCCAGGTCC